AAAAAATAACGGGAGAGGACAGGAGCAAGAACCAAACAATAGAAGAAAAAACACAACCAAAAAAAAAACTTCAGACAGGCGCCATAATTTTGTAGTTTTCTTTCAATAAGCCTATACTGTATCGCAAGTCAAAAGAACTACACTACCCAGAAGCCAACAGTGCTTCTGCTGAAATTCAAAGAACAGCAATGGAGGGAGCAAACAGTAGCGGAGAAACCGATGTGATAAAAATTGTTTTGCGTCGTAACATCAGAAGTAATGATCTATCTATTAAACTCACGGGACTGGCAGGAAAGTCGCAAATATTCCTGAAGTTGAACTCGTCCTTTAAGTTGTAGTACATTCAGTGGTGAGTACCCATATAAAATGTTGCAGTACTGCACAGTGCATATATGCATGTTGTTAAAAGTACATAGGTTTAAGAGTTTAGAATACTGTTAAGAACATTGCAAGAGTGTGGGAAGGGTTTATAAAGCCTTAATATATATGTGAATATTAAAATAAATATAACGTCCCTATTTCATGGATTTAAACATATCAGGGTGGTGTCTGGAACATAACCCCCGCAATAAGTCTGTTCAAAGCAGATACACAGTTAACTTTTCAAACTTTATTTATACAGGTTAGTCTCATTGAGCCTCGAGGACTCATTTACAAGAGATACCTGTTTACCTATTTTTATATAAATTAATGTTTCTGTTCAGTGCACTGAGATGACTTCTGTTGTGACTTGGCACTAAATAAATACATTGAATTGAATTTAACTGACTGTGAGGAACTACTGTATTGCTGTATATCACCCTATGGTTCAAATGTAATTTCCAAACATCTAGGAGTACATCTTTATACAATAAAAATGTTCATTCACTAGTTGCAAACACTCAAAGCAGGAACAAATCTTTCATGAGTGGACGTCAAGTTTGCCTTAATTTCACATCAAGAAATGTGACGACTGAAGTTGCTCTATATGAGAGACCTCAAGAACGCAAGCAAATCTACAGCATAATATATAAAACTAATAAAAAATTCAATTATTGCAGTGGCCACAATAACATAGAGACAACAAACTGAATCAAATCCAATGCCAGGACCTTGAACGAAGTTTGTAAAACTATTTCTTTAGCAATTAATAATTTTACCGTTAAAAAAATAAATAAATCCAAAACGTCTTCATAATGGTGCGAAAGACTCGTGAGGTCATCACACTTCAAGGTATCGCTAACGCTACTGACTAATGTGCTGGAGTCAGTTTCACACACACTGCTTTTGTATTGAAATTTACTTTTGTAAAATATTCGGTGTTGGCAATAACAAATGTATAATTCTGTCTGTGATTCTCACAGTTTCTGATTTAACTATATTTAACACCTGATAAGGACTAGATGCTTTTTTTGTCCTGACGTTTAACACTTTAAAACTGAATAAATGATGCGTCCTTTTTTCTCTCTACCTTGAATTTTTCAATATCACTTGGTTTCAGATTTGACATTTTAACAGCATAGCTGGAGAACACAGTGAAGACTGTGATGTTCGATAAACTGACTGCATGCATCATTTCACTCCCAAACATCTGATCTCTTTTGTCTGTTGAGATTCCCAGATTTCTGTCTTCACAAACCAGAGCTTGGAAACAGCAAACTGAAAGGATTCACATGTACGTGATTATCTGGTTTACACCTTGGGAGGTGAATTTCTCTTGCTCAGAGTGCTGCATCTTTGTAGGAAGAATTAAAAAACTAGAGATTCAGAGGGACTTGCAAATGAATGCAATCAGTTCTGCAGAGGAAATTCAAGTGTGCCGCACCTAACTAAGAGATCAAACATGGACAGAAAGCAAACATGTTAACAACAGTTCTCCGAAGCATGAACAGCCGTTCAGCCCAGACGTGGACAGAGACAGAGAACTGAGCAAAATCTGGAAAGAAAATGAGAACACACGAAGAGGAATACCTGATGACGTTAGTAGAAATGTAAAAATAGAAATAGCAATCAGTGTGATCAGAAATCTGTCAGTGAAAGAAAAGTGCATGTCAGACACCCAGGGAGTTTCCTGCAGATTGCACAGGGGAAGGGAAGACAGTCAGTTTTTATACAGAAACAGAACAAACATAAAGCACATCTCAAAGCACATACACATAAAGACACTACAATTATTCCAACAGATTACAAACACACTACAGGATAGTCTAAATTAAAATGTGACAACTATTTGTCATTTAATATATATGCTTTTCCGTCTTGAAATTATTAATATTCTGCTGTCTATTTCTGAGTAATTTAGATTATGAATTCATTAAATAAAGTGTACCATTATGCAAAATATATACAATAAAAATAAAAAGGGGTTAAAAACACCAAAGGGGACCAAACAGACATGCTGCCACTCATTTTTATGACCTTAGTCTCACTATCACAGGGAGCTACTTACTTACTAGCCTTAACATGTGGCGAAAATGAAAATATTAATGAGGAGCGCTATTACGCTCTGGGATAATATTAGAGTGGTGTAAAAAAAAAAAAGGCAAATTTGTTCATGTTTTGAATAGCTTGCAAAAGGCTGCCTTAAATAAATAGCTAAGCTTTCATGCTGCCTTATTCAAGCAATTAGCAGATCAGATTCAGAGTGTGCCAAGTAGGGACAAAAATGTACATACTTGGCCAGAATATGAATGTTTTGTTGCTAATGAGAACAGTTCATGACAAGAACCACATTACAATTCCAAAAGAATGAAAATGGTGGGCATGTAGGCAACTTGTTGCAACGGCCACTTGGAAATTTTTGATATTTTCCTAAATAAATAAATAAAAATGTAGAATAAATAAATGGAATCTGTTAGTGAGATATATGATGTGGAAAGTAATATATGATTGAACTGCTGCTCAGATTTTTTTTGGGACAAAGACATTTTCATGAATTCTACTTTTGCTGGCCAAAATGAGGACACAGTCTTTGGCCCCCTTGATGATCAGCTTAATGACGATTTAATGTTCTTTCAAAACATCCTGGCAAATCTTGTGTCCCTGCAAATCCAGGGGATCCTAAGCCTCTAGACCACTGAAACGTTTTTTTTTTTTCAATCACAAATCTTGGTATTTGGCGTGTGATCTTTCCCCTCTGAAAACTAGAAAACTTTATTCTTTTTTTTTATTTGCAATCCCATCTGAAAGCTGTAGTAAGAGTTAGCTATGGTGTGGAAAAGTTAATCTTTCCCTGTGATTGCTTTGCTCTGCATTAGTCTAGCTAAACACGGACATGCAGCATATTGACTACATTTTGGGAGAGAGACGGAGGATTGGCAAAAGAAAAGCAACACATAAGGAACTGGCCTATAAAAAAATAAAATAAAACTACTAGGAGTTACAGTAGGACTTCAGAAGGAAAAGCTGGACTGGGCTTGGTGGTTCTGAAATAGACTGGGAGAGCACTAAAAACTTACCAGGGCAGCTGTGATAGGATACATTCTGAGTTCTTGGTCCTATTCTGCTTGGGCATGGACCTTGAGAAGCAAAAAGATGGGGCTACATACATGCATGTTTAAAACGGCTTGTTTGAAATGAAGTGATTTCCTGATTGTGTTTAAGCTTGTTAAAACAAAATTTGTGAAGATTAAATGTCTTTAGGTGGAAGTTCAAGTTTTAACAGGCTACAGCAGTCTCGACTACTTCCTTTGTGCAAGACAGAAGCAAAAGACAATCATAACGGTGGGTGGACATGAGTGCACCTTGAGGCTAATCCTTCTATTATGGTTGGGGGTAACACAGCCAGACACAGGATCAATACTTCACTTTGTTAGATAAGGCAGGGGAAAAAACACAAAAAGCAAAAACACAAGCAGCTGGAAGTTAAAAGCATGAGCTACATGATTTGTCTTGGTCTCAAATGGCCATTCTTGCTTGCTCCATCTTTAATTACAAGTCCTCAAAACCTCAGAGAGGTTAACCTTTAAGTTGTAATGAGTTTCCACATCTAATGATGTTCACTGGTGCAGTCTGGTTCAAAACTAAGGGGAACAACTTAGACAGGTACAGTGGTAATGAGCAAAGCAGAGCAGATATACTTAATAGTAAGTGATGCATAATAAAACTGGATTTATTTATTTATTTATTTATATGCTTGAGCTTATTTTTTTTCCTTCTGCTCCCAAGTTGAAATGCATTTGTACAAAACGCTCATTTGAATTTAAAAAAAGCTACAAAAGTCGATCGTGCAATCCTCCAGCACTATTTCACTTCCACCTGATGACAATTTTGGCAATTCATCTAAATCTTCGTAATTAATCAGTCTTTAAAGGTTAAACGGGGGAATTTTCTGCACAAACTGCAAATGAACGTGGCAACTTAAAGGACAAAAGGGAATTTGAATACGAGAGGCAATCTAAGCAGTGTTTGGAAGCTGAATGGCAATGAATATTTTAGCATCAGAGGAACAGACAAAATGTTAACACTATCTCTTTAGATGAAATACTGCCTTGTTGACTTGCGCAAGGAGCTTTCAGTTCTGTTACATAATGAAACATCTGTTAACATATTTCAACACCTGTTGCATGGCTGTATATTAAACCATCAAAGTGAGCTGTGCTTTCGCCTGATGGATTACTCCGCGCAGGACTTGAGAAATGAAACTACCGCTTGCTATCACAGAAAGTCAGCGTGACTTCCTCTGCCCTCCCTCTATTCTGCTACCTCATATAACCAGGCTCGTAGATCCACTGGAAACATGGTGAGCACATCAATAATGAGGGGAGTGCAGAGGAGGACCAAAGGGTTTTACAGGTCATATTTCATGGAAAGTTCACTGCGTGACACAGATTGAAGAAGAGACAGAGGGAAAAGGGTGCTAGAAGGTACTGCAAACAAAGAGAGGCTGTGAAGAAATGGGACAGGATATGGTATAACACGAAGAGGAGACAGAGGGCAGAGAGGAAGCAAAAATATGAGGAGGGGAGGGTGGGGGGGGAAGAGAAGGGCTTTCAAGTCATGACAGAAGGGGTCATACTTACTGTAGGGCACACACTCATACTGGACCTCCAGGTACTTGTAGGTCCCTGGGCAGGGGTCAGGGAAGACATCTGAACCTGTGATCACAATGCACTGGGTCCGATTGTTGCATCTGGCAATAAAAAAGAAAAGAAACAGCAGCTGTTAAAAATTGATGCTAGCCTTCCCAAGTACATGAAAAAGTCAACCAATGCAGTGCATAAAAACTCTCGAGTGGTGTTCAGACGGGGAAATAAAGAACAGTGAATTGCAGTTTCCAGTTTTGCAAAGCGTTTTATTTTCTTAACAACAAAGTGATGGTAAACTACAGAACCTTTCACAGATACCACATCGTTTCACTTGCACATTGTTGCACAACACAGTCTTATGTTGTAGAGCAGGGTTATTCAACTAAGTTGCTCAGGATACTGCAGCCAAGAGCTCAGGGGCCGGACATCCAGCAGTTATTGTCATTTAGTAATTTTGTTTTATGGTTTAAAATCTAGTTTTATTTAAAAAGGAACCCATTGGTGGGCCAAACTGAGCTCACCCATGGGCCTGATTTGGCCCCTGGATCACCAGTTGAATAGCCCTGTTGTAGAGGTTTTCTGCACAATTCTTTTAGTTTTTATGAAGAGCCTCTGCCTCAGTGTGTTAAACACTCTGGTCAACACGCTTCGATAACATGTTAATTACCGTTTTATGTCTCATCCTAAACGTTTATCACATCAATATTTACATGTTTGTGTAATGCTAAACATTTAACTGTTTTTTTTTTTGTCTTTATAAAGTACATTTAGCAAAATGATGAAAATTATACCATAAATTACTTGAAACTTTATAGAAACACAATTTTAGAACAGAGGGATCCAAAAACTTAAGACTGTAGTAAAGCTTCACGTTTTCAATGTACTCCAGAACCCTGGGCTGAAAAAAACACGTGTAACTAAATATTCAACAAATTTAAGTCAGGTCATCTGGACAGTTTATTTTTTTGTTGAGACGTTTCATCCTTCATTCAAAGGACTTCATCAGTCCGAGGAGCCACAACAAACTCAGTCCCACAAGCAGTACACTCACATAGTGGGCCAACCAGTTTAATGGTGAAGACTGATGAAGTCCTTTGGATGAAGGACTAAATGGCTCAACAAAAAAAGAAACTGTCCAGATGACCTGACTGAACTTTGTCTGATTTTTTTTATTTTTTTTAACCTGGATTATTGAGCATGAACTTTGATGTAATTAAATAATGTTGTATTTCCAATAACAAAAAAAAAAAAAAGGTGCTAAACTGAATGTGTCACGCAGTATCTTTGCCATATGTTTTAGAAAAAAAAAAAAACGCTTGCCGTAAATAACTATAAAAAAACAACAACATAATTGCATTGAGAGAAATGTAATTGATTTATAGTTTCTTTTTTTTTTTCTTTTTTCACCAGCATTGCAAGTAACATTTGGACAGCAGACATTAAAGCTGGCCCATTGGGCTTTGAGGTCCCAGTAGTTGTGAGTTACCACAGATGAAATCATGATAATGCCATTAATACCTCGAGAAAGTCCTCTTTGCTACCTGGGGGATTTACAATTCTATGAGCAATTTGAGACATCAGATCAATAACTTTATTCTGCTGATTTAGCTTGGACCAGAGAAAATATGTGTTTCTTTTTATCACAGAGCAGTAGGCTCATTTACAATCTCATTGGGAAATGTATTTCTGATTGCATTGTGTTTTCCTGTTTTGTGGGCTGCAGAAGTAATCACTGCTCTGGCTCTAAAGGCTGTTAATATCATATTTAGGTATTTTAATGGAACAGTTGGTTGTTGTTAAGATAAAAAGCAGGGTCAGACACACTGGAGTATCTTTTGGTTGCAGGTTGAGAACAATCATATTTTGGCTGCAGTCATAACTGCTCACATGCTGTTGTGGTTTATAGCACTAAACTGTATTCAGGTACTTAAGCAAAAGTTTCCTGTATTCAAATAAAAATAGAAAAATCAAACTAATTGGCAGGTGAACCAGTGAGACATTAGTAATTATTTCCAAGCGCAAAATAAATTATCCTCACTGTACTTTATGTGTAAGACAATTAACAGAGCTCTTTCATTTTCTTTTAAAAAAACATGATTAAAATTACCTTCCTAAGTGCATTGAGTTGAACAAGCATGTTAAAACCGTGCCTTATTTCATTCCACGGACACATTTATGTTCACATCTGTGAGCAGAGAGAATCTCAAAGGAGCCTTTCACTATATTAATGACCTCCAAGTGTAATAAGACAAAAATATCAGCATTTTCTCCGTTATCATGGAAATGAGTTACTATTTAGAAATTAAAAGATGCACCTCATGCTGAGACCATAATATGCTGCTTGTTTTTGTGGCTAATATTTTATGAATCTGCAGTGCTTCCCATACATTAAATGGTCACTTTGATGACTCTGTCTGCTTTGTTCATGAATGAGCATTATCATGCAGAAGCAATATAAATTACAGTGCTTTATCTAGCACATTCCACTGAGACCAGGAAATGAATGCTTAGTTTACGTGAGGCATATGAAATGGAATAATATAAAAATATAAAATTAGTGACACTAATGAGACGTAGACCAGCCATTATTACTCAGGCAAATGTATTGAACAACAGAGAGAAGCACTAAAAAGCTCATATTTCTTTTGAAACAATGTTGACATAAGTGTTGATAGCTCTTCCTGATGTATTGCCCTAATTTTAGAGCAGTGGAACAGGGGCACCCTGATCTATGTCTGATTACCGGCTCATCTGTGAAACCTCAGGCATCTCCCGAGACCAATTGAAAAAGCCCTAATGACTCCTCCTATGCATAGTCCTGGCACACATTTTTAGAGAAAGCATGTAATTGAAATTCCTCCAATAAAACCTTCAGCATTTGGTTTGCCAGGGCACAGGTCTCACTGTGCACACTAATTAAATAAATGTAAAACGTGTTATCTCTGACTATCTTTTTGATAGTCTGAGGCTATATATTAATTAATCATCTACTCAATGAATATCAAGTCAAAGGAATTTTTTCCACGTTTCTTCAGAGTGATACATTCTATAAATGCAATAGCCCAACAAGTTAAAGCAAAAGTAAAAAGAGTACAAATTTAACTAGAGGAAGTGCATTTCCTGCGAAAATGCAGCGTGAATGGTTATTGCTGAAGAACCTGCTGAAAAACAGCTGAATTTAGCTAAAAAACAAAGCTGAAATGTAGCTGAAGTACAAGAACAAGCCTAAATTAGCTGAACAAAGCAGAAAGAACACGTTTGCTGAATTAGGTTTAAATAAGCAGAAATGAGCACCCAAATTAGGAAATTAGCTAAAAAGCAGAGAAAAAATGTAGCTGAAAAGAAAGAAATGAGTTTAAACTATCAGAAGGACATAAAAGTAGCTGAAATGAGCTCAAGTTTGGAATCAGATGAAAATGCTAAAATTACCATATAAAGAGATACAGTAAATAGTAGCTGAAATAACTGAAAGTGAAATAACTGAAAGCATCAGGAATTACCATGAAAAACTTGAATTTATCTAACAGCTAAAATTAGCTAGAAAGGTAGCTCAAAAGATAAAGTTTAAATTAGCATAAAAAGGCAGAAATAACGTTTGTCCAATTTGGCTGAAAGAAGCAAAAATGCGCACAAAAAAGTTTAAATTATCTAAAAAAAAAAAGCTTAAATTAGCACAAAAAACACCAGATGAAAAGTAGCTAAAAGGCGGACAGAAGTTGAAATTACAAGAAGGAAGTGGAGAGAGCATATTTTTGCAGACTTAGCCTGAAAAAAAGTTGAAATGGGTACAAAAAATGTGAATTCAGCTGAAAAAGCTTAAATTTGCATTAAACAGCTATATAGCTGAAATAGTAGAAAAAGCTAAAAGGCGCATAACAAGCTGAAATAAGCAGAAATAAGTTAGAAGAAGCACAAAAATGTTGTAGTTAGCAGAAAGAATCTAAAAAGATCACAAAACAGTTGGACAAAATTTTAAGTTCACGTTCAAGTAAGTTTTATTGTCATTTCACTTGGGGAGTGGTGGCGCAGAGGTTAGAGAGGTGGGCCTGTGATCCGAAGATCACCGGTTCACGCCCCGGCCCCGACAACATCAAAATTGCGGGTGGGGTAGGTGAAACACCCACACTTGCCCCCACCCTCATTCGCCCCACTCTGGGCCCATGAGCAAGGCCCTTAACCCCCACCATGTGCTCCCCAAACAGGTCTCTCTTGAAAATGAGTTCTCGTGGCTCAATGAGACTACCTGTATAAATAAAGGCTAAATGAAAAAATAAAAAGTTTCATCACATGTGGCATGAGTTGGAACAAAACTGTATACACAGGGTCCCAGTTTATTATTATTATTATTATTTTCTAATCAAAGACAGCTGGAAAACAGCTGAAATTAACTGAAAATAGCTGGGATAAAGTTTAAATTTGCACAAGGAAGCTGAAAGACATTGAACTGAAACAAAATGTGAAAGGCAAAATATAAGGTTGTAAACAGATCTATATATTTGAAGGATGTAAAATAAGCTCATTTCACTTTCTATGCGGAAAAAAAAATGCAGAAAAGGCTAAATATTTCAAAAAGCTAAAGTTGCACCAATACCAAAAGTCATAGCAGGATTGTTCTGAAAGAGCTGAACATTTTGATTTATGATTTGTTGAAATGGCTTGAAACCTGCGGGACGAGGATCATGCCGAAAAATGTAAGGAACAAAAATAGATTTAGCAAAAAAGACACTGTCCAGATGAATTTACTGAACATTATTTGATTTTTTTACCTGGATTATTGAGCATGAATCTTGATGTATTCTTAGGAAATATAGTTCTTTAAACATTTTTAAGACAAAACAATTGTCAGAATTTAAGTTAAACTAAACGTACATGACAGAGCTTAGTTTTACTATGATTGATCCCCCTCCCCCACCACCACCACACACGCACACCACCCCCTGCCAGTTAATCACACTGAAGTATTCCAAATGTAATCCCATCACATCTCTGACCTTTTGGGAGAGGCAGACATCAGTACAATTAGAATGTCGTAGAAAACGCTGCATGGATTTGATGCAAATCTCTTTTAAAAATGAGCACTCCCAGCTGACAGTGGTAAGGGGTG